AAAGCGTTTTTGTCAGGAATCACTTTCATCGGGTCTTCACGTTTCACAGGTTCTGTTGAATAGTATTTAGACGCTTCAACACGTTCTTGCTTCCTAGATGAAAGACAACGCGCAAAAACTGCCTCGCCTAAACAGCTTCGTCAAATAATTTGAAAAAAAAAACAGATGCTGAAAACCTCACCTATAAGAGTTAAGGGAGCTCCGTAATTAAGCGCTGTTATCGCAGTCCACTTCCCAGTTCCCTTCTGCAATGATATCATATCCCTCAATTGAAATTGTGATGGAAAAATAACAACAGTTAAATGAACTTCATCTGATAAAAACAACTGCCGGTCAGAAGAGCTACAGTGTTTAAATGACAACCTGTCCAGCAGCATCCATTATTTTTGGAACTATGGGTTCACCATTCACTTTAAAACGAAGAATTTCAGCAGTTATTTGAATAAGGTAAGAATCAAGTTCCTCGCGGTTCCACTTATCAAAAGCCTAAGAACGCAGATTTGATTACTGTTTTAGCACAGGCATCATAAAAGCAAAATTCTGCGAGTAAATTAAATAATATGTGGCTAAAAGAAAGATAGGACATATACCTCTGCCATCTCATCATGGGACAGACCAGCACCTTTTAGTAGAAGATGATATGCTTCTGCAATTAATTCCATATCGCCATACTCAATACCATTATGAACCATTTTCACAAAATGGCCCGCACCAGCATTTCCTACCTAAAATAACATTAAAAAAACTTTTAATCAAATAACTGGCAAACTTATGCACAATATCAGAACCGTTTTTAACAGCACCCTCAAAAATTAAATCAACAAATAACACCGAAAGAGCCGCTGCGAAAGAATTCGAGCAAAAACCAACCCAATTACAACAAGATTCGACAACGCTGCCCGTCTTAACCTTTGCTGCACATTTCTGAAATATATCTTTTAAATGTGGCCAAGCTTCTGGTGCACCTCCTGGCATTATGGAAGGCCCATGCCTAGCACCTAAAAAGAAAAAATTAATCTGATTAGTCTCAGAAAAAATTTCCAAAGAAGCAGAAAATTATTTCTACAATAGCCCAAAAAAGTTTTCAACTTCCTTCTATACCTCTTAACAATTCCTTAAAGATTATTATAATAAGACTAGAAAATTCGCCAGAAATTAAAAAATTATTGCAGTAAATTTCTTTGAACCGACACTGCCACACGAATATTACTTTCGCCGCCTTCAAATCTTAACAACGTCAATTTTCTAATCTACAAGTAGTGGTAAAAAGAACACAAAAGAACCACCTTCTTCACCGCCACTGACTCCGCAACCAACGAAAAGAATGCCCTTTTCCTTGAGTTCTTCATAACGCCGCTGAAAAAAGTATAAGTTACAGATGGCGCAATCTTCACTAAGATGCGAAAAAAATAAAAGAATTAGAAAGGTAAAGTAGGGTTTGCGCGAAGATTACTTCTCTATAGCTTAGTTTACCCAAAACCAACGAAGAAAACACTAAAACAACAAAAAATGATCAGACGAAAATAAAGTAAAAAACCCATTAATAACGATATCCAAAAAAAGCCATACATTTGTATCAGTGTATTCGCTGTTCCCAGCATCGATAACTATATCGCCCTTCTCGAGATGCGGCAGTGCCTGAGAAACCATACTATCCACTGCGCTTCCCGCCTTCACCAAAAACAAGACTTTTCTGGGACGTTTAAGAAGTCTGGAAAGTTGATCAGACCAAAACTTAAAGTTACAAAGTGGAATCCATGAAAATATTTGAAATTTATAATCTACTCAAGTCCTTAGAGTGTATAAATTCTACGTAATAAAATACTGGTGGAGTTTTGCAGAAATGAATATAATAAGAAATCAAAACTTGTTACAACCAAGCAAAAGACTGTCAGCATAAAAGTCAAGCACGACGCAGCAAATTCTGTAGAATTACTTGAAGTATTTGAAATCATAAGCAATTGTAGATTTCACTCAGCATATTGCACTACGCTTAACTTTAAACGGTTTTTTATAAAGTAGTTACAGCTTAATAATGCGGTCGATTTTTACGGAATAGCCCATGCAAAAGAATAAAAAA